CCTCCATTATTTAAATGTCAGCAAACAGCAACAAGTCTCGTAGATCTCCAGATGCATTTGAGATATCAAAAAAGTACTCCAGAGTGTTGTTCAGCATGGGGGTGAGTAGAAAATGAAGGCTAATCATGTTTTGGGTGTACTATTCCTTTAAGTTGGTGGTGTTGTAGTTTGAAGATTTAACACCGCCCCTTGGAACATTTCTCCAACAAATATTGCATGTAGCCATTGGGCTAGTAGGCTGAGAGAGCGTGAAAAACCACACCGCAGATCCTTTCGCTCGATCCATTGTGTTGTCTTGTTGCATTAGTTAGCATAAAGTTAGAATGAATAGATCGGCCCCTATATCAAGTCAATTGTCAACGATACCGATCTAGTTTTTTTTCTTTATATCTGGACCAATGCCGATAAAAATATCGGATCGGTGCATCCCTAGTTCAAATACTGTGATGGGAAATAGTTTTTATAGTAGAATAGAACAGAAAATCCCCTTATTGTCCCACAATGAGGAAATTGTGGCATTACAGCAGCAAAAGGTTATAGTAGGAGTCGTTGTAGAAGTAGCAGAATTTGGTTATACTAATAGATATTGATTTATACTGGGTGGTTATCTTGTTAAAAGTTCACTCACTTAATAAAAGTGTGGTGAAATAAACTAAAAAACTGCACATTGATGACACTGTGGCAAACATAAACAAAAACATTGTGATATTCATAGTTCTCTTGAGCCGTTATGAAATAGTCTGCAAAAAATATGAGCCAATTTCAACTAAATTATACTATTGTACTTAGACTGTATGGTGCAGTTGCTGATCTGAGTGTTTGCTTGTTGAGCAACATCCTTTGAGAAACGATCAACTTCAAATCTTAGAATTAGTCTTCAGCTGAAACTGCAGATACATCTCAATAAATTACAGATATGACATTTTTATGTTTTTATAACAAATTTTTATATTTTTATATGAAATTATAGAGTAAACTTTTATTTGATTGAACTATTCAAAAATACTTAATCCATCCTAGAGGGGAAATTCAATGTTTTAACTCATAGGGGTTTCTTCAATGATTTGTTGTAGATGCTGATGACTTAATGCATCTCCTGTAGAAGCGGATCTCAGAACACTGTTGTCTTTTGACGGATAAAGAGAATGATCAGGGTTGTGCATATTGTTCATTTTACGTATGTTTCTCAGTAGGGCTGCAACTAACAATTATTTAGCAAATCGATTAATCGTGCGGTTATTTTTTTAATGAATCGATTAATAATCGGATAGCAAAAAGGTTCCTTAAAGAAGACTTTTTATGTAGTTAAACTAAGTCAAACTAAAAATTTTCCACTTAAGTTCTGGATAGAGCATATGATAAAATATGCTAAAAGTTTTTTTATCTTTTTTTTCTTAAATGCAATAATTCAAAAACAAATTTATATATATATATATTTTTTTTAACAATTTGGTATAATTACTGCTCTAAGCGGGTTGCTCCGTAGCTAAAGGCCTGTTTTACAATCTCTATACTCAAGTTAACAATTAATTGATTACTAAATTAGCTGATGATTATTTCAATAATTGATTCATCTGAATAATTGTTTCAGCTCTGGTCCTCAGTATACTACTTCTTGTCTCACAGTCAGGGAAATTGAAATATAACAACGGGCAAGTGGGAAAGCCTTAACAACAGAGGGAAAAAAAACAAAATCTCACTTTCTGTTGAGTGGATGGCCCCTGGTTTCAGTGTGATAGATCTGTGCCAACCACTCTGAAATCTATGACCAGCTCCTAAGGTTTTTCTTTTAATCTAGAGATGTTCTGCTGGCACCACTCCACAAAGTACTGTATCCACCATCTGTACTCGGTTTTCCTGTCATGTGAGGAGGCTGATTGTGCCCAATTGGAATGAGGACTTTGGAAGTTAGAAGCCAGGGGAGTTAATGGAAAAGTCTGCAGTTTAGAAGGTAAACTGGAAAGGTGCCAACAAAGTTCCTTGTGGGAAAAACCTTCAGAAAATGTAGTTTGTATAGGTTTATTACACCTCAACTGAATTATGTCAAGTGTGGAATTCAGTTGAAATTGATTCTTATGGCTTAGAGTTAATTAAAACCCTAAGTTTAGTGTAACTGATGTGCTGGGCCCCAAAGGACAGGTTTTTGGTGCCTCTCCATTTCATAACTAGATTTTAAAGTTTAGATCTTTATATCTACAGTTTAATTTTATCTGAAAAAAGGACTTCAGTGAATGTAGCAGTCCGGTTTTGGTGACTAAACCTTTAACAACAGTAGCCCAAATGTTTCAGTGAGTTTGCTAGACAATTGTATCAAGGCCATCTTTGTTTTTTTGTATTTTTTATTTTTTTTTAATACAATTCTACTCAAACATACTATTTTATCATTGAGGGCAGTTTTGTTTTTTGACAGCGCTTTTAGATTTAGTCTTAGTCTATAGGACAAAAATCATTAATAGTCTTAGTCGCATTTTAGTCATTACGATATGTGCGAGTTTAGTCTGTTTTATTCGACTAAAACTTAAAAAGGTTTTAGTTTTAGTCAGTTTTATGTTGCAAAAAAAAAAAAATCAACCTTTACAATTTCAAATAAGAACCAGATTTCTTCCAGACTGACAGCATTTATGAGAGCAGATTAAATTTATCAAGCGGGTCAACAAAGGTATACTGAAAGATGCTCTTGTAGAATGTGAATAACTGGTAATTAGCCTAGTTTAAATTGCATTTTGAAATATCTGTAACCACAGAGTTGTAACTACAGTCTGAAAAGAAATTTATAAATTTAAAATCAAGTAATATCATCATGTTTAAGGTTATTTTGTCAATGAATCAAAATCTATCTGTTGTCCCGTTGCTGTTTCCTTTCTCTCTTCTCTTACACTGTGCTGCTGTCAGCTTTTCTAACAGAAACTGTCACTAAATTTCCCCATAAAAAGCATAAATACACACAGTTAGAAGTTAGCTTTTTTAACATGACTTTTACTGGGTTAATGACAATCTGCTTGAATTTTTTTTCTTCTGTGGCTTGATTTAAAAAAAATAAAAATAAATAAATAATGTTTTTTTTTGTAACACCATAATTCCATATCCGTGTTAGATGAGGATGTCCTGATTCAATATAGATATCAGAAATTACCTTTTAAATGGAAGTGCACCTGTATGATTTAAAATAATTAAGTTCTGTTTTATTCTCTTGTATTGGACCTAAGTTCTAAATTGTATTCCTGTCTTAAAATGCGGTTGTTTTCTGCACACAATAAGCCATTCTAATTCATTAATATCTAATGCTGTAAATTGGTAGAATCCTGTTGACATATTTAAAACAAAAATTCCTTTAGGATTTATTACGTTTTCTTTTTTAAACTCTTCACTTACTTTTTAGGGGTCCAAATCAGTTGCCATATATTTATTGTAATGTTGTCCCCAGAAAATGTCTTATCCTTATGTCTTTGCAATTTCTAAAGACCTTTTTTTTTACATGGGACTAAATAACAGTTTCTGGTCTGTAGATGGCAGCCTTGTTCAATTTTTTGATCCTACTCTCTTCCAATCAAACAATACAACCAACATTAAAAAAAGCAATGATTATCCATCATGTTTTTAAAATTTTCAGATCTAATAGAAGTATACTAACATGTGCTTCTATTAGGTGTGGTGAAGTTATAGTTGCAGTGTGTTTACAGGGGAGTTTTTTTTCCTCTCTAAAAAGATAAAAGCAGGATCTGAGTGCAGCTCTGGTTATGCAGCAGTTTATCTTTGTATCTGAGAATTCCTTTTATCTGTGGCACAGAGGCAAATTAGTCAGGCTTGTTCTTTGAGATGGGAAAAAAAAAACTCCTTTGGACTTGTGAATCTGGGGTGCTTGAATAATATCTGGGACATACAGCAAGCGTTTGCACGGCAAAGACGACTCCAACTGTTTCTGCTAGGTATGCTTTTCTTTATTCGAGATCTGTGGCTTTTTCACCGAGTACGGGACAGGTTTCCGCGCTGCTTGATCTGTGATGAAAAGGGGGTGAAGTAATCCAGTCAGATAAGCTACAAGCAAGTGTTTCATTCTTTCACGTCCTTTGTAGATGCATATCGACTCCTCCAGTTTCCTCTTGATGTTGGGTTACTTTCCCCACATAAAATAATAAAAGTTTTATTTCAAGCAAACCAAAAGTTTCCCCCTTCTCCTGTTTCCTGTGTTTAACTGTCTTGCTCCCCTGTCTTGATAACACCCTGCAGGCATATCAAGATATGGATATGGACAGTGCCAGTTCAGTGGTGCTGCAGGCCTTGACTCAAGCGACCAGTCAGGACACAGCTGTGCTGAAGCCTGCAGAGGAGCAGCTCCGACAGTGGGAGACACAGCCAGGCTTCTATTCAGTCCTTCTGGTGAGTTACAGGACATCACCTCAGTAACATTTCTAAGAAAGTTGAACACATTGACACTTTGATGAATGTGTCATATGAAGCTGAAAACTAGAATTTACGGATCAATGTTTGAATTAAAATTGAATATTACCATCATTATGTTTAATATTAAAATGAAGGGTTTTACATTCTGTTTTTTATTAATAACTCATACTGACGTAGGGCTGGGCGATATGAAGGAAATGTAATATCACGATATATTGGCTATATTGTGATACATGTTATATATATCGATATGTTTAAATTGCCTTCAAAAACAAGAGTGCATAAAATTGCACTGATATACTCACTCAAACTTGTGGTTTCCAATTTAGTTTTAGTTTAATCAGCTCAAAGCTTTTCATGAATAATTCTGCCGCATTATGTCTTTGGGTGTCAGTATTAGACCTTTAAGAAGATCCCAGCAACCAAACAGGAAACAAAGCAAAAAAATACGCATTACTAAATAAAATGCAAAATACAGAAGGCTCTTTTGTGCATAGTAAAACAAAATGTGGAATGAAAAAAGAAATTGACCTAAACTTACAAAAACGAAAGAAATGCCGTCAACAAAAAAGGGCATTATAAGAGCATCTTCAATATTTGCACTGATTTTTTACGTGCTGGGAATTTTAAAGAAGCACAAAAAGTTATAAATTTGAGAACATTGCCAAGTTTAAAGAACGTCTGCAAAACCTCTGAACAAGACCACATCACAGGTATTAGAGCTTCTAAAAAAACATTTAAATAATGTAATATATAGCGTCTATGATTTCCCTCCATCTCCTCCTTTTCCTCTTATATAGGGTCGCTTTTTTTTTTTCACGTGGCCAAAGTCATCGGCTTTACAGCTGATTTCTTTAACATTTTATCTGGTGTGCAGCGGGACGCTGACATTCAGTGTTTACAACATTCTTAATTTTGCAGCGGATTACTTTTAAGGTGATGGAATAAATTTGTACTCCTACTTTTTGCAGAAATGTTTTTTGCAGCACATCTTACAAATTAGCGCCTTTTGTTCGACATCCCCGGCGGCAAATCCAAACCACTGTCTTTTATTGTAGCCATATTTTGTTTGCTGATTGCTGTGGTGTGCATGCGTGCCGGTCAGAAAATAATCACGTTTGGAGGAGGGCTTTATGATGAATTCAAAGTGTGTGGGAAAACTAAAACTCTGTGAAATGGATGCAGACGGCTTAATGTCGTCTTGTGAATTTGTACTCGTCATTTTCACTATCGTGTGTGGGAAAACTCAACATACATCGAGTATATTCGATATATCGCCACCCCTATACTGACGGCTGTACACAGTAACTGTCATCACAGGCAGGAGTAAGCAATGCAATGCAGACAGTTTGGGATGAATTTAGGTGAAAGGATTACTTGGATATCTTGTATAGTTTCATTAAGATTTATTTGCTGATCCACGGATTGTATTTGTAGCGATACAGAGGTGTTTTTAAAAAGTCTGTCCAGAGTATTATTATGAAAAAACAAACAAACAAAAAAACTGAAATGTTAGAACTGTAAATATACAGTCATATGTTTCTTTTACTGTTTTTATGTATTCTTTTTAACTGTTTTCAAGGCTGCACTTTAAAAAAATGCAATTGTCTAGAGAGCTGTTCTTAACAAATATTCTTTTTGTTTACATTTGTGTATAAAAAATATGACAAAATAAATCTAAGTCTAAGTCAGTGCACTCCACCAGAGGGATTACTACTTTATTTTAAAACTATTAGTTTACTCTTCTCAACAGGCTCCGACAATAAGATGTGTTTCACTTTCATCTCTGCAATTTGTAATGAAATTGGCCAAGTATGTGCTCTGCTTAGCTAAACGCATAAAACCGAGGACCAGTCATGGGGAAAATATTTTCTCTTTTATTTTGTCAGTAGGAGTGCGTTGCATGTAATGGAGCTCGGGTAAACAAACATCTCCCAGTCAAAGCATATATAAAATGACATTTTGTGGGAGTTGTCAGCCCAGGTTTAATGAAATAAACAGCCCTTTGTGTGGCATTTAATTCTCCCTGTGTCTAATTATGGGGAGTAATTATTAGGAGTTGTTTGCTGGGACAGATATTTGACGCTAACCTTTTAAAAATGCTCATGCAGCCTGGAAAAGTGTGGAATTTGATAATATTTTTTACCTCGGTCTGCAGGTATGGAAAGATTGGATTATGAAGGGAAGTATAATGATGAATATTTTTTTTTTTTTGTAAATCGGTATAAAAATAGAAAAGTGTGTCTATATTTAGCTGATTTTAGCTCCTCATCATCCTCCTCCTACAGCATGATGCTGAAACCTTTGCATTTCACTCTGGGCATGCTGTGTTGAGGGTGAGGTGCGCTGTTAGTTTTTTTGCATATAGCCTTTGGCATTTAAACAAAAACATCTAGGTTTGATCTTGTCTGAATAGGGCACCATCGTAAAACAGGAATTTTAATTACTCCTTTTTTTTTTTACTTACCGTTGGATGCTCCTCTTCAAAGGCCAGATTTGTGGAGCACACAATAAATGGCTTCCTGTCAGGAGATTGACTCACATGAACTTTACCTCTGCAGCTTCTCTGGAATCATTGCTTGTAGCTGAACTATTTTAATATCTCAAAAAATATCTTTTTGTCTTAATAGTGAAATTAAACCATTTGCAATTAGTCAACTAACTCCCCATTTACAGTGCCCTCTGAAAACTGATCCGTGCCGAGTTCAGACTGGGCTTGAATCAGTTAACCGTGCCGAGCTCGGTTCCTTACGACTATTTACACATCACGCCAGCACGGTTCTTCGCCTCCTATTGACGATATACGGCACTACTGCTCCCTAGAGGGAAACTGACAAATCAAAATGGTGGCGCCCGTAGCGTTCAGGAAGTTTGGTTATAATTGTTATATTTCGTTTTTACGTAGAATCAGTCAGAGAAGGCAGCTTTTGGTGAATTTACTTGACAGAGTCAGCTTTTTGGAAGTTGACACGACAAACGATAGTCTAATCTAGACTTACAGGCACAGGAAACAACGACAGATGTTGAGTTTCATCACACTGCTAAGCAGAATCATCACTGGAAATCATGTGGCACGGTAGGGAAGCTAGTATTTTTATGAACGTCGGAAATTTCATGATTAAGGAGGCTGACTGTAAAGAGATGAAGCGGTCTGCTCATGCACTCTTTGTTCAGAGAACAAAAAGAACCGAGCCAGAACTGAACCGTGCCGAGTCCTACTGATGAACTAGTACCGGTTTAGCGTGGTTCAGTCATGTCTGGCACGGTCCGTTTCAGTTGTGTGTGCCATTTACTTTCAAAAGACATCTGGGTTACCATGCTCGGACCGATCTCGGCACGGTTTCAAAAATGGTAGAATAAATGGGGTTTAAGTCTTATTTATGCCAAACTGAGCGATAAAGCAGGTTATGATTCACTTTCTTAGTGACAGGATTATTGCTGGAATTAAAGGTGTGGATTATATCCTCATATTCTCCTATTTCTTGTTTTCCTTGAAAAGCTAAAAAAGGCACCATTCTTTAATTCTTTAAGGTTGATGTGATTGTAGTTATTTGTACCTGCAGTTTATGGATGCTTTCACACATTACACACCTAAGATAGTGAGGTGTGCATTTTGCACAGCTACTTTGGCCTGAAATATCTCAACATTGCTAGACTACAGTTTTCACTAATGCAACCATTAAAGTCATTGTGAATCAGTGAAAATATCTAGTTTTGAAATTTCTTTCCTGTTACCTGCATATTAAGATTTTTAAAATTGGTTCCCCTGTTTACTGTTTTTATGTGTATCTAAACACTTTCAATATTTTCTCTCCATCACAATATGACCAGCAGTTTAATCCGTTTTGCCTTTTTAATGGCTATTTTGTCTGTCATATGAGCTATTATAGGCATTAAACAGTGACAGATTGGAAATTCTCATTTTTCCTTCACCCCTTGCTTTATCTTTATCCCCCAATGTTGCACATACATTTATGTAGAATAGATATAGAGACAATAACAATTGTTTCTATAGAATGGGTCCCCCTTTCCCCGATGGACCCAGGCATCTTTTGTTGTACATGATTTGTATAATTATCTGCCTCCTGTTCCCTCCACCTTGCTGCCACAATGGAATATGTCTAGTTTCAGGAATATTGCATAAACAGTCTTCTGCTGGCATGTGCATATAATGACATGCAACTTGAGTCAGTCCAAAGCTCATGTTTGGGCCTAATCCTCCAGGGATTCTTCTGGTGTTTTTTTCTTTCTTGGCTTGAAAACATCTTTGACTTCTGATGCAGTGCTGCGTTGAAGCCACAGATGATTCAACTCTTACAAAGGATGTTTACAGCAAAGTTATGTTTTGTGCACTTGCTTGTGATCCCAATTAAACCAGGGCGCACAATATGTCTCAATTATTTTTGCAGAGCAGTATCTGCATGGATTGATCAAAAGTGAGCCAAACTAGCTAGAATTGTGCTCCGTTGATTGGATCTGATAACAGCCAAATGGCAGCAGGCTGTGTTTCACTTGCATATTGAAAGTAAATAGTTACGCTGTGGCCTCTGCTAATGGTCTGTTCTGTTCCCTTGATGCGACAGATGGATGTTGTATATTTCTGTGTAGAAGCCCAAATGCTACTTAAACAGGACACTTTCCTTTCTGAAAATATGAGAGCCCAGATTCCAATCTTTGATATTACTGTGGCTGGTCGTGCCTCTGCAGTGCAAAAGCAAATAACTCTGAATATGCGGGGTACTCAGACACATCTTCAGGGTTTATTGCCACAATTTACAGCCCAGACATATCTGTAGTTACAGGGAGTAAAGCTAGACAAGTGGGTATCCCACATAAAGCCTTTTTTATGAAGTGCTGTTTATGTTGTGTAATTGTTTAAGTCCTGTCAGATTTTGGTTTTGCTGTTGACCATGATGTTTTCCTGTAGCATGGCAAGAGGAATTGATTATATAAGCAATAATACTGCTACTGGTGGTGAATATCCTTATTCTTCCTTTTTTTTCCTCCCCAGAATATTTTCAATAATCACACGTTGGATGTGAACGTGAGATGGCTCGCTGTGCTGTACTTCAAAAATGGCATTGACAGATACTGGAGGAGGGTGGCCCCTCAGTAAGTACCTGCATCTCCTACGTCCACACTCACTGTTCCATCTAAAGCTTATTTGCCTCTGCAGTGCGCCTCATCTTTATGTTTATTTCTTAGACTTAGGCAACTTTTATTGTCATTTTGAGTGTATACAAAACGAAATTTCATAAGGAATATATTTATTACAAAATACGGAATATATTATATTATATATTTCATGATAAAATATATTCCCTATCTTATCCATTGACCTGCTAACTGTATTCATAAGTCTTAATCTTTCGTTTTTGACCTGTGAGGCTAAACTATTCTAAGTTTTTAGTCCTTTTTCTCACATTTCCCCCCTTATCTATGCTTTTACCTATTGTGGCTAACATCTGCATGACTTTTCCCACATGTCATCTTTTTTTGGTTTGTATTAGTGTGATTATGCATCCATTTGTGCTTTGATTTTATTCTGAGGCTATTTGTTTGTGCCTCCTCCGTCTTATGCAATTGGCTTTGGGATATTTTTGGGATAACTTTTTATCTCAAGTTACCTGATTAGCTTCCTTTGTTACATTAAAAGTTATCAATTGCTCCTTCTGTAAGTCCTCCTTGCTGTGTTTCGCTGTGGGTAATCAGTGATGCTTTAGATCTCTGTTTCCTTCTTTGAACAGTAAAAGTTGTCCCTCTTATCCAGTTTCCATCACCCATCTTATGTACCTCTGTAATAGTGGCAGACACTGATTCTCTCTTTGTACTGCAGAAATGTATATGTGTAAGGCTAGAACAGCAAGCATATTAAAACACAGGTCAATTTTGTTATTGTAGAATATCATAAATATATGTTGTGTGAAAATCTGCAATCATTTACACAAAGTTCTGCCTTGAAAATGTGCAGCAGCAACGCATGTTTACCGCCCGCAGACAAAAAAAAAAGAGTGTTTGCAGTCACAGCAGATTCAGCATCATGTCTGCTAGGTAGTTTGTTGGTCGTGGCCGTTGGCGTGAACGCAGGGAGGATCCGTCACACTCACCTCCTATGATTGGCATGCAGTCTGGAGGAGAACTGACAGTTTCCTCCTGTGAACCCACTTTTATACCAAAACGCCGCCATTGAACAGTAGCTGGAAGATAAAAACCACGTTCAGCGGTCGCCTGGAACATGTCAAATATATTGATATGCATTGGAGATAAGTTCTTGATAAGTTACACATAATTTATGCATAATTTACTCCTAGGTTTTGGATAAGCTAGACACCACGATTTATGGGTAACTTATACTTATTGTACGTCAACAATCAAATAATTTACCTGTAACTTATGGCCCATATGTGAGCATACGCTGGCATCTGTCCACTACGTCTTGACGTACTTGCTGAGCGTGCTTCAGCATGCTCATAACTTATACAAAACTGACCCATGAATTATCCAACGTATGCCAGCGTTTTTGCAAGATTTTTCATAAGTCAGGCATACGCTGCCTAAATCGTCAAGGTGTGACAGGGGCTTAAAAGAGTGTGTAATTGTTGAATGATGGCAGCCTTACCTCTGCTGGAGGATTTGGGCAAAAGAAGAATGAGGGAGGAGTGTGTGTTCAGAGATCTTCCTCTCACTGCGCTTTCTGCAACTGGAGTGAATAGAGCTGATTGACAGGTCCGGTATTTAACAGCCATCCCTGAGCTATGCCAGTCAAAATAGGATGACCTCGCATTGTGGTGTGAGTCTTTGAGGTATTTATACTGATTAGAATATGAATTTAGGGGCAGGTGAAGATCTCAAAGATGTGCTGTGAGATGTGTTCACTGCTTCGTACATCAGAATTTTTATGTGCACCAAAAAAATTCAGAATTTCTCCCTACCACAGAGAATTAGAACAAAGGCTGCACATTTTTGTTGAACAGTCCCCTGATACTGATACCCTTCTCCCTGGTGTAATTTGTTCTTAATTTGAGATTTGACAATTTAAAGAGTAATGTCAAAACACCTGATTTGCACTTAGTGGAATAATTTTGTTGTCTTTTGTTTCATCTAAGTTGTGCAAGAAAAGTTGCTTTTACAAACAAAGCTAATAAGATGGTACTGTTTCAAGAAGTAAAGCAAATGCACAAGGGACATACACCATAAAGATAAAATGAACAGATTTCATAAAAGTTTAAAATATGAATATAAATCTATTTCTTTCAACATTCCTGACAACCTCCAGCAAAGTGTCCCCAGAGCTCAGCACATAAAAACTTCAAGCGAAAACAGTGGAAAGTTATTTATTTATTTTTTTTATTTGAAGTGTTGAAGAAGTGGAGTAAACCTACAATTACTCTTTTAATTTTTTATTTATTTGTTATTTATTTTTCTGGACACACAGTACGACTAAAAACTGGTACCCACAAGCAACTATTTCAGTTTCAATGGGCTCCTCGCCAAAGGCTTTTTTTATATTTATCATATGTGTTAAATTATTCATATATAGAGAAATATTTACTGTTTTTAAATGTCTGGGATAAATATATAGGGCTTTTGGAAGACACAACGTATCCAAATAAAATAACTATAATTATTTTCATCTTAGAGAGATGATTCACTTTTAATCCAACTTTATTTTTTTTTTTATATCCGATACACATATTGAGGTTAGGTGTTTGTTGTTTTTAGAGGGTATGTCCACCACTCCTCCAGGCTGATTTCTACTCAGCCTAGGAATATTTAAGCTTTTATCCTTTTTGCAGCTCTACCTTTTATTTATTTTTTAATACTTATTGGATGGCTGGATGCCCTGAACTCAGTGCAGGAGGTGGGAAAGAAAAGGACCCTAACTAAAATAACATCTCTTTTGGATAATGTCTACCACCCCATGCATGAAGCTGTTGCTGAACTCCAAAGCTCCTTTGGTGACAGACTGCTGCACCCTAAATACACCAGGGAGCGTTATCACAGGTCCTTCCTCACAGCAGCTGTAAGACTTTATTACCATCACTGTTCCCAACAGCATCAATAATTTACATTCAAGTGGATTTTTGCACAGTTTCTGTCTTAGTCGGTTAAATAACATGCTGCTGTCATTTTTGCACATCTCTGGTGTCGCTGCTATTTTTTTCACATATCCATCACTGTAAAAATGTCCACAGCTGTATATTGATGATTTATTCTTTCGAGATACTGCAGTATGTATATTGTAAAAACAATGTACAATACAGTACTGTATTTATTTTCTTAACTCTGTAACTTATTCTGTTAGTTTTATACACTCTTTTTAAGGTCCACATTTGTGT